AGGTATTGAGAAAAGGTTCTTAAGAAAAATTACCAGAAAGTAGGGCTGTTAATGGACTCCCAAAGTCCAATATCCTATTCGACTCTAAATCTGATTATCCCAAATTTGGATGTGGATCTAACCCCATATGATCCGATTATTATATTAGTATAATTAATTATGTATATATATAGATGTTATATACAATTATATAATGTTTTTAATTGATAATTTTAATATTTTATATTTATATATACACACATTTATTATACATGTATAAATTAAAAAGAATTAGGATGTGTTTGGTTCCATGGGCATTTATTGGAAAAACACCGTCACATAGGCATTGGTGTTTATTGCAAATGAAGCAAAATGAAATAATATTTGGTTTCATTGTTTATCAAATAAATGGTAGAAATTTGAAATGCTTTGATTTTTGTGCATGGGGCATTTGAGGAAACGTTAAATTTTTGTTTCCCCCAATGCCCTAGCGTTTCTTGAAATCAAATGCTAATGTGGCACACTTTAATGGGTATTAATCTGAGGTGGAGAGTAAAAAACATTTAAAGTGAAACCCAACCCAACACCAAAAACATGAAACGTTTAAAGTGAAAAAGTACAAATAAATGGCCTATCCACAAACGCCCATGGAACCAAACACATACTTAGTTGCCCTTAACTTTCTTTTTTGTTTTATTTTTTTTTTTTCATTTTAAACACAATAAGATGGAAGCGGATATGACTCCAATCCAAAATCCGCTATATCATATTCGGACCCGAACATGGATGTAGCTGATCTGATCTGATCTGAATCTGATCCAATGATATCCTTACTGAAAAGCTGTTAAATTCCTTAAGAGCCTTTCCTCGGCTTTCTGTTTCTCTCTTATTTTCTATCAAACCAAACATAGCCTATGTTCTTATATATGTTACTATAGCAGAGACTAACTTTTTATTCTCTTGTGAAACATTGACTCCAGATCTCTTGCACATTCGTCCCTACAGATTTTCCTATACATCAAATCAGAGGGTGCCATGTCAGCACCCTCTAATGCGTGAATTTCACATGTGCGAGTGGGATTAACAGACGTTTCAAACGCCCTCCACTCCTCCTATCCCGTTTTTAATATATTGAAATTTATACTAAATTTTAAAACAAATAAAAAACAGGGGTTAAGGGTTTCTTCTTCCTCTTTGTCAAATAAAAAAAAGAGTTTGATCTCCGAGGAGCTGAATATCAGTAAGCAAAAAAGCAGCGAATAAGATTTCCAACTTGTAGAATTCCTTGATTTCCAACTGAAGAACCACCGGTTCCTTGATCTATCATACAAAAATTTCTCTGGTCTAATTTTGGCTTCCATAGCAAATCTGCCCAAACTGGAACTTCTGGGCCTGGGATGTAATAAATTGACAAGAAGCATTCCCAACTCACTTTGGATGTCACAAAATCGTTTCCTACATTTCAACCTTTCACAAAACCAGATATTTAGTAAGAACAAGTTTATAGGAGATGCGTCGGCGTTGTTCAAAACAAACAGAACATTGTTGCGACTGGACTTGTCATGGAATGAGTTTAACTTTAATCTTTCTAGGGTGAAGCTTCCCAAGAGCCTAGAATATTTGGACTTATCCCATAACAGGATTAGAGGGAGTATCCCCAAGGAGGTCATGGGATTGAGTTAATACGGCAATGAGTTAAAGCCAAATAAATAATTAAATGCAATACAGTAAATGTATTAATCTATGCATATATATGTATATAAAAATAAAAAGGTTCCAAATTTTTGTCCAATATTTTTTAAGTTCCAAATTATTCATGTGTTATTAATTTTTTCCTATTATTCATTCATTTCTTTTAATATCTTCAAAAAAAATTTTGCAATTCGGAATCTTTTTGTTCAAAGACATTTTCTATAATATATTGTGCCGATGCTTGCCATTGGTTTCTGTACACACCTTAAAAAGCTAAATCACAGTGTTTTTACCTGTATATGTGCATAGCACATGCACATGCACATGCACCAAAGTACGTCATTTCTAGAAAGTTACAAAAATACCCCGTAAATAAACAACCCAAACAAGGCCTTGATTAAAAAAAAAAAGGCATAAAATTAGGTGAGGATACCTACCGTCATCTATTGTGGCAATAATTGAAACGGGGCAGATAATTGCAACTTTCAAACCCAAAGGCAGTGGATAAGAAATAAATTTCAGACAAGGCCGCATCCTGAGCTGAGGTCATTTTTCCTTTTATCTAATTTAGGCCTTCTTTTAGTACTTTTTACAAACAATCTTTTCATTTTATTTCTAGTTAATATTTAATGCGAACCCCATCTGAGACCCAGCTGTTCGTATTGAACACTGGCATGTCCAATCGTCAGCCGGGTGTGTATGTTTTTGTCTCCATCTAATCCACCCTCCCCTTTTATCCGTTCATCAAACCTACTATGTTTTGAGTTTTGGATGAGAAACCCTTGTTTATATGGAAGAGGAAGAGATTTGATGTCGACGAGAAAAACTTCAATTGCCTGTCCACATTTGACAGTCTGACTATGTATAGTATGCATACATGCTCTCTCCACGTGGCACATTAGACATCCCTTCAACATTGTTACTGTTGCATGGAGTTCACATGTACTAACATGTCATGCAGCCCTATGAACAGCACAGTCTGTCCAACGTAGATACACAAAATTTCCTATATGTATTTGACAATGACAATACTATTATTGTATAGAGACCATTCCGGCGACCGCCTTTCGCTGTCCATTTCATTGTCATGCTTTTGTCACCGTCTCCGTCTAAGGGGCAATGGCTGAAATGGCTGAACTGAATTACGTATTGCTTTGTCTTTTAGTGGAAAAAATATTAATATGGGCTGTTTTTTTTTTTCTTTTTGTTAGATATAAAATATGTTGTTAGAAGTTAATTTGGAAAAAAAAAAAGTAGAAATAATCAGAATTACTTTCCCTTTTTTTACTCAAAAATTAGTCAAATGATTCTGTTTTTCTCGGAATCCATTTTCTCTTTCATTTGTTTTCTATGTAAACTCTATACCTTGTCAGGGTGATGATGGGCCGGGTTAAAAAAAAAAAAGTGATGATGGGCAGTCCAGTCTGGAGTTAGCGTCTGACTGGGCCTCGGTTTCTTTTCTGATCAAGTGTGAGATGGGCTGGTCTAAAGATATGAATGCCCACCCAGTAAATCCAGTCCCAGCCCAACCAGGTTATGTGTATGTATGTACAGCACTATCACATTTACCATGATTGGCTTGGTGGTAAGTGATTTTCTTTTTCTGTCTTTGTTTTTTCCTTACTGTTTCCAATAGAATGACATGGTGTTTCTTTCATTTATACCTGATATACAAAACAAATATAAACCATTCAAATAAAATACAAGTATGAAAATTTTATGTAATTCTATAAATAAAAAAGGAATTAATATTTTGCTTGGGCTGAGCTAGGCCTCTATATGTTAGGCCCGGACTAGGCCAGCCTACTGTCCCTTAACCCTTGTACCCTAGGAAAAGCCCGTTTGGAAAACTGCCGCTCCTAATCTACAATAAGCAATTAAATAAAGTTTAGGTAACATCAATCCAAGTGAATGCGGGATTTGATCCCTATGTCTCTAGACTTACCACCAATGAGTCCAGATTGATTAGAGACATAGTGGATAAGTGAACATATCAGTGTTTCATATACATTGAGCTATGTAGGATCCATACCTTACGTATATAAAACACTAGCGTGTCCACTCATGATAAATCTAGCCCATTGTATATGATTTTGTCTCCAGTCAATTTGATATCTTTACAAGTAGGTTAGCTGGAACAAGTTAACTTTAGCTGTTGGGGACCAACAGTCTATGCTATTGAAAGCGTATTTAGGCTGGACATGTTCACTAATTCACGTCCATATGGGAAAAAATTTTAGCTGTTGGGGGCCAACAGTCTTTGTTATTGAGAGAATTTCTATAAATGTCACGTTATTATGAGAATGGATAAATTAATGATTACATCTCAATTTATTTTAACTAAAAATTAAAGCATGAGCATGAATAGATAAACTGCCCAAAAACTGTCTCAACAACCTATCCTGTTGGGCCCCAACAACCAAAGTTAACCCCCCCTATGGATGTTTATGGTTAAAAAGAAATGGAAAATAATTAAACTATTTTATCCCACTCTATGGTAACGTAGCATTCCCAAAAATGTTGGCCCCCAACAGCCAAAGTTTTGCAATGCAATTTCACTTGTGTTAATATAAATGCATGAAAATACAAATAAAAAATTGCAAATTCTAGTTACTTTTTGCTTAGGATTTATAGTTTTTAACTAATTTTGTACTCCAATCATCAGATTCATATTTTGCACCCGGTTCAATTCTATGCCCTTTTAGTGGCAATTCAAAATTTGCACAACCTTCCTATTACCTCAATCCTCTCTCGTATATATAAAGTGGTCACGTCAACTTATTTCTTACTTCCTCCCAATCAAACAACCCTCCTCCTACCTTCATCTTCTGCCTATTTGCACTTCCATTCATTTACAACAATGCAAATAAAATTTGCACCGCAAACAAATTAAACCTAATGAACTGTTATTCATCAACATTCCAGGGGTTCTGAACTTTCTGCGTCAAAAATTGGCTTTTAGATACGATACCTTTCTCTGCGTCAAAAATTGCCTCAAATATTTGGGGTAAATGCCGAAAGGTTTTACGTGGCACCGGTAAAGGACCCACGTGTAGAGGTTCCAATTTCATCGGGCTGGGCTTCGATTTTGGGCCTCTTTGTTGGAAGTATACGAAGAAATGCTCATCCCAATCCAAAAAAAGAAAAAAAAAAAAAAAAAGGGACGGTCCAAATCTCATACATTTGGACGATCCAGAGCAATGGGATGGCAATTCTGAACCATCGTCATCATCGTTGATAAGACCCGCTCTCATCGTTTACGATATGGACAGAAACATGCGTTGCTTAATGGCTGAAACCCGAAGAGACCAGAGGTCTTTCTGAGTGTTCGGTACGTGTCATTCACTGATCTACGTGTAGTTCAGAAATGCAGACACCCCTTCTCCTCGTCACCCTATTTCAGCAAGGTTTCACAGAAGCTCTCTTCATTAGCAATTCCACACACCGGAGATCGAGAAAGTACACTACTCTTTGATCAGCAGAAAAACAGAGTGCAAGAAAGAAACTTGGCGTCTTAACCATGGCAACCATGTATCTAGCAAAAGCCGCTCTCCTCAAAGCTTCAAGGCCTGAGAACCCTTCTGTTTCTTTCCGATCTCTTCCTACCCGTAAAGTCTCGAGAGTTTGCTTCGCTTCTGCTGCCAATCACCCAGAGGTAAGTAAGTAAGCATACTTCTTGAGTTAGTTCTCATTATTCTTGCTTTAATTCGCTTGATCTGTGTCTGTGTGTGAATTAGTGGTTGTTTGATGGACTGGGTTCCAGGGTCGCAATGCAGCGGATGAAATGAGAGAATCGGGTTTTAAATACATGGCCGACAGAGCCAACAGATCCACGAGGGAAGCAGGGGACAACACTCTGGGCATGACTGATAGAGCTAAAGAAACTATATATGGAGGCATGGACAAAGCAAAGGAGTACGCAAATGAAATGAAAGAAACGGCGAGCGGTATTGCTGGGTCGGCAGTTGAGGGGGGCAAGGAAGGAACGGAGAGGACGACGGGAACTGCGCAGGACATGACGAACAAGTTGCGCGACGCGAGTGGGTCGATGGTCGACAAGGCTAAGGAAGGAGCTAACCAGGCAGCGGGAAGTACAGAGGAGGTGACGAACAAGGCGGGCGATAATTTGGGGTCGATGGCCGATAAGGCGAGGCAAACCATGCAGGGTGCATGGGAAGCGGCCAAGGAGACGACCCAGAAGATCAGAGAATCGTTTGTTGGCAAGGGAGATAATGAGGCTGGGGAGAGGACGATGGATGAGAGGTTGGAAGATCTGAATAAGGGTGGTTGAGTTGAGGTTCCGAACTTCGGATATGAAACGTTGAAGGATTGGATTATTACACCATCAGTTTATCAGATCCTCCTGTACTATGTTCTTGTTATTAATTATATGAGTACGTAGAGTGGACGCATGGCACTGGTTTTCAATCTTTGTAATAGAGTTTTTATATAAAATTATATGTATCTCAGTATATATAAATCTAAATTCATCACCTGGGGGCGGTTGGATTGGTCGAAGTCGTTGTAGTATCATACCTTTTGACAAAAATATACCCAATCCATAGGCTGCGTTTGGATAAATTTCAAGATTTTTGTTTTCGGTTCAAAAAGGGTACGTATTTTGGCTTTAGATTTTTATGTTTAAAATTAAGCAAAACCGTTTTTTTTTTTTTTTAATCATACGCTCATTTTGTGTTTGTTACAACCAAAGGACTATCATACGCTCATGCTGCTGCATGTACCAAAAGTACATTCACCAATAAGCTAGTCTGTAACTCTTTCCGCCAAGGGAATTCTCTGCTAGAGAAAAAGAGTAGTAGACTTGAGTGGTCTTTTTTTTTTCTTTTTCCAAGTCTCAACTATTCGATTCTGCCCTTTAATTCCAATGTGTGACGAAATTCATCTAACTTTAAGGTCCTTCAAATTTAGTTTGTGCAGGAGACTATTACAGATCATTTGTAGTTTTGTACTCTTTTTAGACCCAGCCTTAGGCCAGTGCAAAGAAAATTTGCACTCTCAAGCATTTGTATTAGTGCGAATAAAATTGCATTGTATATATTTGTGTCTTACATATTTCATATTTGTATTTGCATATATATTTAACCTTTAGGGAAGGCTTGTAGAAATAGTATTAGGTTTGAAATCGATTTGACTTAGAGATTAGAGTTTGGTTTCGTTAAAAGCTTATTGCAAGATTGAGTTTGGTTCGACTCGGGATCAATGGCAAGTCTAGTTTTTTTTTTTTTAATAAAAATTATACATTAAAAGTACTTTTATTTTACAAATAAATAATTATAAAAATTATTTTTTATTATATATAAAAAATAAATATAGAATATATAAAATATATTATTATATATATATATATATATTAGGATTAATTAGGCTCGTGATATTAGGCTCAAATTTGGTTCAATTAACAAATGAACATATATCGAATTCAAAGTTCGGTTTAAATTGAACCGAGTTGCACCCCTAGATGTCTTATTCTTTCCAAACAGCGCCTTAGGCCAAATTTTTGTGCTCAGACGGACCTAGGCCGGCCAAATTTTGTGCTTATGATAATGTACCAGTATGTTAAATCTGATCAAACATCAAATATGTGCCCCCTCTCTTAGAATGTACCATGACCAAAATTTTACGTTTTCATGATGCACGACAATATCTGTACTATTTTAAAATGTACGAATAGTTTGAATAGTTTTACTAATATTTTTAGAATTTTTTTAGGATAAAATTTATTCTTTTATATTTAAATTTAAATCAATTATTAATATTAAATGTATTAAAAATATACAATTATAAGATATTCAATGTATTTAATTTCTTTTCATTAAAACCAATATTTAAGGTATTAATTTGCATTCATCTTCATTGAATCATATATTTAAAGTATTTTTATTTTTTCTCATCATTAAATTCTATTAATTAAATCTATATATAATAAATTAATAATTCTAATAACATAAAAACATACTTTTAAAATCTACGTGAAAAAAAAAATAGTGTTTTACTCTAGGTAGTGGTAAAAAATTAAACCATTTCGGGTCAAATGGGTCAATCCATGTTGTTACAATTCAATAATAAAATGAAAAAATAGATAAAATGAAAAAATATATATAGAAATTAAAAAGATTGAGAACATTTTTAACATCATGTATTCGACATATTAAACAATAATAAGTATTATAAATAAGAAATGATTTTATTAATGATGGAAATGGAATGTAAAATTCAAAACCAATTAGAAATAAAACTATTTTCTTTCTCTCTCATTAAATCTCATATAATCTCATATTAAGGTATATTCTCTTATTTAATCCACAAAATTAGTTTTAATATTATGAAAATAAATATTTTGAAAAATAATTTTAAAACAAAACAATTTTCTTCCCTCTCAATGGTGGGTAAGAAATTCAACCATTTTGGGTCAAATGAGTTAATAAATAATGTCATAAATAACTAATAAAAATTAAAATATATATAACACAAAAAAAATAAAAAAGAATTGGATATACCTAATATTGAATATTCACTATACTAAACAAAAATATGTATGAAATGTAAGAAGTAATTTTGTTAATGATGAAAATGGAATGTCAAAGTTAAAATAAACCTATAAATGAAATGATATCATAGTCAAATAATAAAATTTTAAAAAATAGAAAATATAAATAATAACAAAAATAAAAATATAAAAAATTTGGGCAAATATATAATGTTATATATTCATAAAAATAAATACTGGGTACATCTCTATTATTATACATTCATTATCAATGATGAAAATGTAATATAAAATTTAGTGTCACCCAGAAATCAAATTATTTTTCTTTTTGGATTGTGGACTAATGGTTTGGGTCAAATGCATTAACCGATGATATGATAGTTAAATAATAAATCTTTTAAAAATAAAAAAGTACAAGTAATCAAAAGAATATATAAAAATTTATATATTAATTATGTCAAACAAAAATTAAGTATGAAAAATAAAAATTGTTAATATCATATAAATGGTATATAATTTAAAAAAAAAATCCAAAAGTAAAGTCATTTTCTTATCTAGATGGTGGGTCAATGATCCAACTTTTCAAAGAAACTCATGATGTCATAATTGAATAATAAATATTTATACTACTTTAAAAAGCACGAATGGTCTCAAGAATATTTCTAGAATTTTTTGAGGACAAAATTTACCCTCTATATTTAAATTTATTGATAAAAAATGAGGGCAAATAAGGTAATCGGTTATTGATATTGACTGAGTTGAAAAGAAGTAATTTTAAGATATTCAATGCATTCAATCCTCTCATTAAATCCAACATTTAAGTTATTAACTTGCATTCATGTTCATTGAATCATATATTTAAGTCATTTTATTTTTTTTCTCATCATTAAGTTCAATTAATTAAATCCATATTTAATAAATTAATAACTCCAATAACATAAAATCTTATCCTTTTAAAATCTACCTAGAAAAAATAGTGTTTTCATCTAGGTGGTGGTAAGAAATTAAACCATTTGGATCATATGGGTCAATCCATTTTTCCATGATTAAATAATAAAATGAAAAAACAATAGATAAAATGAAAAAATTGAAATTAAAAAAAAATGAAACATTTTTAACATACATATTAAACAATAATAAGTGTGATAAATAAGAAATGTGTTTATTAATGATGGAAATGGAGCGTAAAATTTAAAACCAATTGGAAATGAAAATGTTTTCCTATTCTCTCTTATTAAATCCTATATTTAAGATATATTTTTCTCATCATTAAATTACTGTAATTAAATCCATAATATTAATTTTAATAGTATAAAAATAAATATTTTGAAAAGTAATTTGAAAACAAAACCATTTTCTTCCCTCTTGATGGTGGGCAAGGAATTCGACCATTTGTGGTCAAATGGATTAATGAATAATGTCATAATTTTAAAAGTATAAAAATTAAAATAAATAAGTATGAAATGTAAGAAGTAATTTTTATTAATGATGAAAATGGAAGGCCAAATTTAAAATCTAATTAGAAATGAAATGATGTTATAGTCAAATAATAAAAATTTTAAAAATACAAAATACAAAAATCACAAAAATAAAAAAAAAAGATAGAAAAAATTTTGGGCACATATCTAATGTTATACATTTATAAAAAATAAAATATTGTGTACATATTTAATATTATGCATTCATTATATTGAACAAAAATAAGTATTATACATAAGAAATAATTTTATCAATGACGGAAATGTAATACAAAATTTAATGTCAATTTAGAAATCAAACTATTTTTCTTTTTGGGTGGTGAGTTAGTGGTTTGGGTCAAATGATATCATAAACAAACAAAAAATCAAGTGTGGTAAGTAAAAATTAATTATATAATTTAAATGAAATATATAGTTTAAAGAGAAAATTATAGTCAAAGTCAATTGTACATTTAAAATCAGGTTATAGGTTGGCTCAAAAACCAACAAAACTCTGACAACCGACTCTACATTTCAAATTATAAAAACCCTGTCATGTCATTAGAGGCTTATGTGGTTGTTGTCAACATGGAACTCTTAATCCATGTTAGGCACAGCAAAAATCATATATTGAAAATAGGTTTTTAATTTCTCTTCTGCTCCCTCTGTCTCTCGATCTCCCTCCCTTCTCTCTCTCTCTCTCTCTCTCTATATATATATATATATACAAGTAAATTGACCTTTGGCAACAGTCAAAATATTTTTCCAATATAGAAGAAACCATTGCCAAATGTTTTACTTACAACTGAACGAGTTGTTGCTAGTGAAACCATTGTTAAAAGTCTTCTGCAACAATCAAATGTTGCAAAATATGTTTTTTACAACAGTCGATCTAATTGCTAACTAAAATAGTATTTTGCAACAACCATTTGCAACCATCGCCAAACGATTTGTTTTAGCAACAATGTATAAAAACTGTTATCTATATAGTTTTTTAGCAACAACCACTTGCTTGTTGCCTAATGGTATCATCCCTAACAATTTTGTTAGTTGTTGCTAATTGTAAATTTGCAACAGTTGAAGAGTTGTCTTTAACAATCATCTTAGACAACAACTTATATAATTTGTTGTTGAATGGGCAACAATCAAACAATTGTTGCCCCAAAGTGAAGGAGGCCCATCCCAAAGCCCATCTCACCCCTAGGGGCGGCAGCTCCTAGGATAAGGTCAAGAGTCCAAGATAAGTCAAGAAAGGATAATAGGATAATTCAAGATCCATTAAGACTCTTCCAAGACTCCAAGACTTATCAAGAATCCAAGATTAT